ACCCTTATGGACAAATTGGCTAAGAATATCCAGGCCCATTGGCTGGAGGCTTTTAGCCATCTGGGCCGTCCTCAACAAGTTAAAACTGATAACGGACCAGCGTATACAGCCTGATCGACTCAGGGTTTCCTACAAAGATGGGGAATTCAACACAAAACAGGCATCCCGCATGATTCCACAGGCCAGGCAATTGTTGAGCGCACCCATCATGCCTTTAAAACTCTTCTTAACAAACAAAAAAGGGAGCCAGGAAACCTCTCCTAGAAATTTGATGATGTTAGACATGTATACTTACAATTTTCTTAATTGTGATAAGTCTGTTAACACACCGATTGAGAAACATTTCAGTTGACAAAAAGTAGATGATAAAGGGCCCCGTCCCTTAGTGTTGTGCAGAGATCCCTTGGGAGAAGGGAAATGGGAGGGGCCAGTTGAATTGTTGGCGTGGGGAGGAGGATATGCTTGTGTTTCAGCCCCTACAGGTTCTCTGTGGCTACCCGCCAAAAAAGGGGAAACCTTAGCATGGGAGACCAACCCCACGAACACCTGTGGATAACTCACACCGAGAGGATCCGGCGTCTCGAGAACCTGACCGACCAGCTGCCCCAGATGGCCGTGACCAAGTGCTGACAGCGGATCCGGACCCATTGCCAGAGTCAGGGGAAGCAGGCCATGGGACCAATCCACCCCCTGAACCTAAGGGGGTGACTTGGGGAGACTTAAAGACCCTCAGTAACAGGGCTGAAGAGGTCGTGAAGGGTGTGGGGGCACAGAACACTCCTGAACGTCTGTTTCTAGCCTGTTGGTCAGTGGTGTCCTCTAACTCCATCAGAACCATGGGGATACTTGTCCTGCTAGCTTGTTCTGGAGGTTTGGGCCTCACTGCTGGAACTCGGCATATTTCCTGGGGTCATATCCTTGACCCACCCATATTTAAGCTCTAGCAAGATACCAAGTGGATGGGAGGTGTCTGGCTTCCACCGGACGGACCTTTAGAAGAGAAACAACATTGGCTATTTGTCCCTGAAGGTACTGTCTATGTGTCAGAACATTTACCTGCTTGTTTTTCCACCTCACCTGACACTCTAACTTTCAGGTGGTATGCACATACCTTTGACAGTAAGGAGTCTCAGGCTAATGTCTCCTTAATAGGAGCCATAGGCTTTAAAAGAGAAAGCGATGGAGACCATGACAGCCCCCCGGGTGTACCCCTTTGTAAAACTAAGACAAAACCGACTGAGTCTGTTACTTGGTCAGTGTTTAGAGATCAACTGGCCTCGCTCATTGATACTCCTAACACCCCATTAACAGCTGCAAACTGCCAAGTGGAAAGTACACTAGAGTGGGTTCCACCACTGTCCCTGCCGAACCTTGTACTATGTACAGTAGTCTGGGGTAGTACAGTGGGGGGGCTGGGGCCCCTATTATAAGAGTCACTTCCCCGAATCACACCAGCCCTTGGCATACTAACGCTTGGGAAACGGGACTCCCTTTCAAAGAATGCCTCCTGGGGCGTCTTCAATATACAGAAGAGGCAAGGTCCAGAAAAGGCTATCCTGTTTTAGAGAATGTTAGCAATCACTGGGTGACCAGGTGTACTTCTCACCCTTATCTTTTCCTAGCCGTCCCAGGGACGCCTCATCTGACCTATGATAATGATTCTATGATACATAGTCTTACACTTACCCGGCTCTATCTATGCCAACTGTCTTACCCACACTAATGTTACTCAACTCAATCTCACTGGTTTTTGTAGTTTGCAGACAAACAGAAGTGTGGCTACCAGTTAATGTTACCCGTGAATGGGAAGATCCAGGAGGCCTAACCGCCCTCAGCCATGCTCTCAAGTGAGGGTGTGGTGCTTCCTAGGGACTCGCATAGTTTGCATTGTTTCTGCTATCATAGCTGCCTCTGCTGCAGTGCTACCACCGGTCTGGTTGAGTCCGTCCAAACCGCTCACGCTGTTGATGTCCTCCTTGCCAATACAACTCAAGAAATGATCCAACAAACACATATTGACCAGGAGATTCTTGCCAGGCTCTCAGCCATAGAGTCTGCAGTGATATGGCTGGGAAAACAACAGGATGCTCTTGTCACTCGTCAACAACTCCCTTGTGGCCCAGGCCTCTCTGAGCTGTGTGTCACCCCCCCCTGCAGTGGAACTCCAGTCGCACTCATGGGAGGAGGTCTGACATCACTTGCGAGGGGCCTTTTCCACTAATCTCAGGGGACAAATCAATCATCTCCAGCTTGGGCTACATCAACAGCTCCAGGACACGAAACGATTTACTGAACAGAAGGTCTTTCAGACCCTGTGTGACAACTTACAATAGCTCAATCCAAAAACTTGGTTTGAAGGACTAAATTTGTGTGTCGGGGTCATGGGGGCTACGAGATGCCTCCTGATCATTGTCTTTTGTGCTTTAAGATGTATATATGTTGGGAACTGCCCTGCCTGGTTTCAGGAGCTGTAACCCCGCCAACAGGCAAAAAGGCCCCACGGCTAGAGGACCTTGGGACCATAAGCCACTAAGGAGACAAAACTTATCCTCCCAGCAGGGAGCAGCCTTTGTCCCTTTTACCTCACCCTGCTTGGCCCCTGGAGGATGGCTGGATAGTCAATGACGGGTAAGATTCCTCAAGGAAGGAACAACCTAAGACAGGCACAGTCGGGAAGGGGCCATCAGGGAAAGACTTAGGGGATTATGGAGGAGGGACAAAAGACCCTCACCCCTTGGCTTTATCATAGCCTGAGTCCTCATTCTGCCTGTAAAAAGTCTCCTAATCTCTTGGCTACCTTGTTTCTCCCGCCTGGTTCAGGTGTGAAAAAATGGCCAAAGGGTGGTGCAGCCCTGTGCCAGGACGGCAGTTTCCAGGAGCAATCAGACCTGAAAAAGAATGCATTAAATCTTGTGAAAACTGCTTTATTAAGAACGCCCTCAATTTCAATGTTGAGGGTATAAGCACAAAATAAGTTTGATTCCCCAGGTTTTATGGCTGGTTGGCGTCACCCTGTCTACCAGACTCTGACTCAAAAGGACCCCTGGGATCCCAGAAATGTTACCTGTAAACCATACCCCCTTTCTTTGATATTCATCCCTATGTAAGCTAAACTCAATAAAAGTTCACTGACAAAGAGCCTCAAGACTTCCTCTGAGAGATTGGTCAGCCCTTTCTCCCCAAGCAGATCATGTCTTGGTAGATTTACGCTCATCCACAGCAGCCAGGAGAGCTCTGTTGGATGGAGCTCCATGTATATACAAATTGTTTTCCAGAGACCATATACCCAAGAAGCAAGTAGCAGGCTTTATCAGACTTAACCACTGCATCTGCCGTAATAAGAAAGAGGGAGATGCTGGGGACCACTTTGTGTGGGATCGGAGACTGGAGCCCCACGTAAGCGAGACCTCAGAAAGAAGCCTGGAAGACTTGGTTGGGAAGCTGGGAATGCAGGAGGCAGGCATGACCTGGTGCTAGCACCAAGGGTTCCCGTGGGAAATCAGGCCTGAAAAACGCATTGTGTCCTTTGAAGCTTGCCCTGATTTGTATAGCCCTGTTGGTATAAACCAGATGTTTAAGTTCAAAGCATAGGGAGTGAACTCCTGAGCTCAAGAACAGTGCCTTAACAACCATCTGGTGTCAGCGTGTCTAACAGACCCTCACCTGAGACAGATCTCTGTGTTCCTTCAGTCATCTATAAATAATACTGTTTTCTGTAGCTGTGGCCTTTGGACATTGATTGATGAGCTATGCGTGTATGCTGTGTCCCCCCACACATACCAATCTCAAAAGCCGTTTTGGAGAACGGTTCAGGGCATTCCCCACTAGATTATCTCCAGCCCCTTTCTCTCCAGATAGATTGTGTCTGGGCCAGCTCATTTCATGTGGGATGGGGTTCTCGCCACTTCCCTTTTCTTTTTCCTAGTTGTCATGGGCAGTGCACAACTGACCCCACCTAAGGACACCCTGCTGGGATGTCTCCTCAAGAACTTGAAGGCTTTGGGACTTACCGACTCAAGCCCAAGCACCTGACTTTCCGTTGCAATGCAGCCTGGCCTCAGTACAAGCTGGGTGACCGGGAGATCTGGCCCACAGATGGATCTTTGAACAATAACACTGTTCTCCAGCTTGACCTCTTGTCACCGTCTTGAAAAATGGTTCGAAGTCCCTTATGTTCAGGTCCTTTTTGAACTGTCGCCATCCTGATCTTTGTCCTGTCAAATGCTCCTCCCTCCTGCCTCCTTAGCTCCTCCCTCTTCCCAGGACTGGGATGATGTTGCCCTCTGGGCCTCGGCACCCCCTCTCCCTGCTGTCCCTCTCCCCCTTCCTTGGATCAACCGCAAACACACCCTCTGTCTCTTCCCCCTACCTCTCCACCTCCAGTCTTCCTCTCTTCCCTCCCTAGGTGGTGCCCCTCCCAGCCGTGCCTTTCAGGGCCCCTCTAGCCCAGCCACTCACTTTCCCCTTAGTGAGATTGCTCGACCGAGGGCAGTATTTGAGCCCACATGCCTTTCTCTGGATCAGAGTTCTCCCAAAGTGAAGCCAGCTTGACAGTTTTGCTGCTAACCCAGCTAGATTTGCAAAGGAATTGGCTATCACCGTCTCCTATGACCTCTTACGGTGAGATATTCCCATCATTTTTCCCACATGCATGCACTAATGCAGAGGGGTGAGGCCACACTGGGGCCAAGGCGAGGGAATACAGGGGTGACCTGAAGTGGAGACAACCCAATACTTACGTTCCTGGCGCCCAGCTGTCCCCGACCAAGATCCCATTGGACTGTCAGGCAGGCGTCCTTGACCGAGGTGGTAGGACCACAGGCTTCCCTGCATTTTGGGGGGTAAGAAGCAGGCCACAACTAGGCCCATCAGCTATGATACACGTAAGGACGTCGCTCAGGGTGCAGGTGAGGACCCTGCTTTTTTCCTGTCCAGACTCAGGGGCTCTTGGCCTCTGCACCAATTTCCATCCCGACTAGGGAAGGTGATCTACCCTTGCGATGCACTTCGTTACCCAGTCGGCCTCCGATGTTCGGCTGGGACTCCAAAAGCTAGGAAAGGGCCCTCGGACCCCGCAATCAGAATTCGACGTGGATTTCAAGGGGTTTAGCAGTAGCGTTGAGGTAGGTGGGGGGAGAAGAGACAGTGGGACCAGCAATGGTCCTGGGAGCAGCAGGTTTCCAAAGGACGACCTCAGCAACAGAGGGGGCTCTTCAGGTCCAGGGAGGCACGCACCCAAGGCCCCCCCCCCAAAAAAAGAAACAATGACAGCTTTCATTGGCACCGGGGCCCTGGCATGCTTTCACTGCAAACAGGAGGGTCACTAGAGCGAGGACTGCCTTGAGGAAAAGCAGCGTCCTCGGACTGTGCCCACGTTGCAAGGAGGTGGGGCACTGGAAGGAGGAGTGCTCTCTCGAGGAGGGGGACTAGGCCCCCCTTCGGGAACCGGCAGGCACCCTTGGAGGGCTCCCTCTGGACCCACGGAACTCGGTCTCCCCCGCACTGCGGACTGACGGCTCACCATCCACATCATTTCACGCCCCCTGGCCGCCTTCCTTGGACCTTTAGGAACTCCCTCAATCTCAACATCTCTTCTGATACACGCCCCCTGAGGTCTCGGACGCAACGCTGCCCGAGGTTCGGAACACTGGCGTCCCTGGGAAGGCGCGTCCCACACAACCCGCCACTGTCCCCATGAAGGATCCCACAGGTCTCCCTTGCCCTTGGTGGTATCCACCCAAGACAGAGGACCCCCGGGGTCTTAAGCCCCTCAGTACCAAGTTTCCCCCTTCTGGCCTGCTGCGACCCACAGACTCTCCCTACAGCACCTCTGTCCTGCTCGTCAAGAAGGCAGACGCGTGCACGGTTTAGCCCAGGACCTGCGCATGCTCAGTGAGGCCATCACCCCTCCGTCCTGTGGTTCGCTACCCCTGCACCCTCCTCAGCACCATTCCCCCCAACACGCACGTGTTCACGGTCCTAGACCCCAAGGACGCCTTCTTCACCGTCACTCTCTCACCGGGGCCTCCAGACATCCCTGCCTTTCCTTGGGCTGCCCAACACACGGCGCTCCCAACAACTGACGTGGACCTTGCCCCCACGGGGGTTCCAGGACAGCGCTCCCACCCCCCATCTTTTTGGATGAGCCGTAGCTCAGGACCCAGCCGCTCTCTTACTCCCTGGCGGCCCTCGCCTCCAGGGTGTGGGTGACTCACTCAGCCCTAACCTCGGACTCCCCCCGCTAGCATGCACCGAGCAAACAGAAGCTATCTCAGGTCCCCCCCACCAAAGCGCCCATCAGTCAGCACCCTGTCGCCTGCCTGGGCTTCGTCCTCTCACCCGGACGGCGTGCCACTGCAGCACGGCATAAGAAACTTACTGCCTCCTTGTCACCACCTCACATAAAAAGGGAACTTAGAGTTTTTCTAGGGTTCACTGGATACTTCCATATCTGGATTCCAAAATATAGCCTCATAGCAAAGCCGCTCTCTGAGGCACTACAGGATCCAGAACAAGAGCCCTTAGATGGGAAGACGCCTCTGTACCGGGCTATTAATGCCCTTTAGGAAGCTCTTCTCTCTGCTCCTGCTCTCGCCTCGCCTGACCTTGAAAGGCCTCTCCGTCTCTACGTGTATGAGAGGGAGCCACTGCACTAGGGGTTCTCGAGCAAACATACTACCCGAATTTAGGACCATAGCATATTTTTTAAAGATTTATTTTATTTATTTATTTTTAGAGAGGGAAGGGAAGGAGAAAGGGAGAGAGAAACATCAATGTGCGGTTGCTGGGGGCCAGGGTCTGCAACCCAGGCATGTGCCCTGACTGGGAATCGAACCTGCGACACTTTGGTTCGCAGCCCACGCCCAATCCACTGAGCTACGCCAGCCAGGGCTCACAGCATATTTTTCCAAAACCTTAGACAATCCTGCCAGAGACTGGCCTCCTTGTCTCCTGGCCCTAGCCACGACGGCTCTCCTCGAACCTGAGTCTAGCAGACTCACATGTGCCCGGCCCACCCAAGTCCCACCCGCGTCAGGGAGCTGGCGTCCCTAACAGCAGAGCCTGCCATGTCCTCACCTCCAGCCACATTACTCAGTATCAGACCTTACTCCTGAACAGCTCCTCGGCCACGCTCCTGCCCTACACGGCCCTGAACTCAGCCATGTTTCTTCCAGACTCCCGACGGCCTCCCCTTGAGCACTCTTGCACTGTGGTCCTAGAACAGACCACCACAGTTCATGCTGACCTCTTCGATACTTCCCTGTCCTTGCCTGATCACAGCTGGTTCGTAGACAGCAGCAGTGATGTAACTCAATGGACAAAAGAGGGCAGGATACGCAGCAGTCACTACCACTCACACAATTGAAAGCTCCCCCTCAGGACCCAACACCTCGGCCCAGAAAGCTGAACTTAGCACCCTTATTGGGGCCCTACAACTAGGAAGGGGCCTAAAAATCAACATGGACACTGCTTCCAAATCTGCCGATCACAGTCTGCATTCTCTTGCCGCCGTCTGGAGAGACCGGGGCCTCCTCCCCACGCGGGGATCCTCCATCAAGCATGCCAGCCTAATCCTCCTAATCCTCGGACTCAGTGACAGGCGGCTGTTACTCATTGTGGGCACATCGCTGCGCGCAGCCCGCTGGGGCCGGAGGGAACTACAGAGCAGAGAGGGAGGCCGAGCTAGCGGCCTCTTGCCTTTCCGGCCACACGGGCTCTCTGCCTGCCTTCCCTATCAGGACCGACACCTAGCCACACTGAAGACACACTCAACTGGGGACACCTGGGAGGGAGGGACCTCCGCTTATACGGGAAGGGAATTTTCCCCTAGCTCCAGGAGGCCTCCGTCTTACAAGATCTACATAATTCCCTCATACAGGGAATTCACCGACCTCTCTCTGGGCTTCTGTTTCGACCAGGGCGCCGGGGCTCTGCAGGGCGTGGGCCACGTCTTCCGAGAGAAGCGTGAGGGCTCTGAGCGTCTCTTAAAGCTGCAGAACCAGCATGGTGGCCGTCTTCTTCTCCAGGACGTGGCAGAGCCTTCCCAAGATGAGTGGGGTAAAACTCAGGACGCCATGGAAGCAGCCTTGGCCTTGGAGAAGACCCTGAACCAGGCCCTTTTGGATCTGCATGCCCTGGCTTCTACCCGCACAGACCCTCAGCTCTGTGACTTCCTGGAGAACCATTTCCTGGACGAGGTGGTGAAGCTCCTCAAGGAGATGGGCGACCACCTGACTGACATCCGCAGGCTGGGCGGCCCCCAGGCTGGGATGGGAGAGGACCTCTTCGAGAGACTCACCCTCAAGCACGACTAGGAACCTTTGGAGCCCAGGGGCCTTCCGGGGGCCCCTCTGCAATTCCCTGGTGTCTGGCTTTCGCCCGAGCCTGATAACCCTGAAACCCCACCCTGGGACCCTCTCCCATGCATTGGACCAAATGGAAACAATAAAGCTTTTTGCAGCCAAAAAAAAAAAAAAAGGAAAGAAATTTTCTTTCTTTTTTAAAAAGATTTTATTTATTTTTTTTTTTAGAGAGGGAAGGGAGGAAGAGAGAGAGAGAGAGAAACATCAATGTGCGGTTGCTGGGGGCCGTGGCCTGCAACCCAGGCATGTGTCCTGACTGGGAATCGAACCTGCGACACTTTGGTTCACAGCCTGCATTCAATCCACTGAGCTGTGCCAGCCAGGGCGAAAGAAAGAAATTTTCAAACACAAAAATAGAGGTAACAGTACAATGAATCCTAAGGTACTCTTCACCTGACTTGAGCATTTATCACTGTATGGCCAGTTTTATTTCATCTATGACCCCCTTACCCTTGGTGGATTGTCATCATTTTATCTGTAAATACTTTAGTATGAAAGGATAAAAGATAATTTTAAAAACATCTACAATGCCATTATTCTATCAAAAATATTACTACCCTTTAATATCCAGACATTCGAATTTCCCCACTGTCTCACTAATCACTTTGTACACTTAGTTTGTTCAACAGCATCCGAGCCACTCCCACACTTTGCATTTCGTTAGTGAGGTCTTGTCTAGCCCAGTAAGAGGCAGCTCATCCCCTATTTATTCGGTGAAGCAGCTAGTAGTGTTTTCTAAGAAAGATATCTGAATGGTTGAAAAGCACTGTTAAAAATAGGGGGACATTCAAGAAAATCACTTTAAACACAATCTAATTGAAAGGTCACCAGTTGCTAGATCACTTAGAAACATAATTGTACCTAACGCGACTACATAAACCCTTAAAAGATCTGGGGCTTTGTATTTAGAGTATACATTGTTCTAGAAGGTCTAGGGGAGCATTTTAAATGGTACTGAAAAAAACCTAACACTTAATTCATTAGTACAACAGGTAATTTAAAAAACAAACTGCATTTCCATTGAGCTCAGTTTTAAAGCGTTTAATTGCGTTATTGTGTAAGTAGTATACTCCAATTGTAGGCGGAAAATACAGATAGCGCTAAAATGAAGCTTTTCAAAAATTACTACAGACTGGAGATACCTCTTCACAGTGTAAGTATACCTCCAAGATGAAATCCCATTTTAGTTTTTTGCTTTAAGGACACTGGCTAGGATTAAAGGACAAAGTTAAGATAACGCCAAGTGCTCAAAATAGAACATTGGATTTCTGTGCAATGCCAGCCTGTACACTTAGTGTATGAGGGAAACAATGCAGATTTGCAGTTGGGTATACAGTCAGTCCTACTGTGGTTATGGTGCTGTTGGCATTGAGAATGACTACGAACAGCAAAATGTGATCCTAAGACGTTTAATGAGGGGACTGAATGACGGTGACTGTAGTCAAGAGAAAATTCACTATAATAAAATTTTCCGACAGCCAAGAAGGAAAACCCATATTATCTACTTCGGTTATCCCAGAGAGAGAAAAAAATAAACACAAGGTATACTTTGCATATTGCTGACCAGAAAAACATTCCGTTTTCCCTGGATAGTTACCATAGTTACATGAGCTGTTTATAACTTCCAGAGGAGGAACTAGGTCACAATATTGAAGGAGTTTGAATTATGCAATTATGTTCCCTAAAAGCAGGGGAGAGGGTTTAAAATTTAGGGAAGAAAGATGTACGTTCAAAGTTCAACCTCTTGTCCAATTTTGCTGCTGAAACTTAAACGTGTGTCAAAAATTCAATAAATTGTTCAGCCTGCACAAATAATGTAATGACTAGATCCGTAAGTGTGTTAAAGAGATGCCAACACATTGTGGATACCACTGTATCTTAGTGGGCTATCTTACCTTAAAACGGTTTTACAGGTAATCGGTGAACCCGACAGCAGCCTAGCATCTTGAAGTAGCCAAGCCATATGTAAACTGAAGCTTTGACCTCTGTGAAAGCTTGAGATTAAAGTTTAGCTCAATGCCTGTCAGATGCTACCCTTAATTTTAGGACTTTTCCTGTTGATTTCGTCAGATGGATACACAAGAGCGGTAGGGAGAGAAGATACTGAAAGCTGCGGAGGCATAGACTTTACCCTTCCTTAAAATTATGTTCTTTTTTGTTGCTGTTTTCCTAGCAACCTCGCAAATAGGTGATTTTATGCAGGAACCCTGCACAGTGCTCAACCAACAGAGGTCAGGTGAGGGAAAAGAAGGAAAAATAATGCATTTCAGGCTTGCACGATTTCAGGTATTTTCCATCTCATGATCACTTTAGACTCAGTCATTTTATAGCTAAAAGACATCTTAGATCAATGATTTCCCCAAAGGAAGAGAAGGCACGCAGCAGGCAGCCTTACGGAGTGGCTGGGCAAGCCACCGCTGCTGATGGTGGTTTAATTTATAACAACTGTGAAGCTGGGGAAGGGGTTGAGGAACTGTATTATAGGTTCACTCTAGACCAGCTGTATTTTACAGGTGATAGTTAATACCGGGACCCAGAGAAGTTCCAGCAACTTGCCTGAGGTCACATACCAAGTCATGAAGTAAGTGCATACCTAGCAACTTAAGAGTAAAACAAATATTAGTTCATCAGAGTTACTGGCTGATAAGCATTGGAAAGGGAAAAAGTACCCATAGCAAAAAACAAAACCACCCAAAAAACAAAAACCTAAGAACTTGAAATATATACAATTACTTTTTTGGAGAAGTTTTGCAGCAAGTTTGACAAAAGTACCTCTAAAGGAAAATTAGGATTTCCTGAACAATAATATGTAGAACCGCACAAGATTAAAAGTCTGAAGGCGGAGAAGACTGATGCCCCAGCCTGACATCCCAGCCTGAACGGCCGCAGAGCCAGTTCTTCCAGCTCCACCCCTTTGTTCTGTGCGGGCCTCCTGTGGGTCAGGCGAGGCCAGCCACGGGCTTTCAGAGTCCAGGATTCCAGCGCTAATCCCATCCCTCACACACACATCCAGGAAAAAGTTTAACCAAAATCTGGGCGTCCTCGTGGCCCACGCAAGTTGTTACACAAAATTAACAACCACAAATATAAAAAATATATATTTTTTTAAAAAGAAAAAAGAATACACTATTATACAATGTTTCCAAATGATTGATTGTGCATACTATTCTCAAATTCAGTTGATTATCTTCTGTATTTGCCTTTGAACACTTAAAAATGTTTTGAAAGTGGTAGACTAATGAAATAAAGATCATTTTTTGAAATACATAAAATTGGGATTTTTTAAAGAGAATCCTTGACTTTGGAATTATACATATTACCTGTAGTGAAACACGGTTATGTTCCTCACGAACATTTCCCTTTGACCTCTTTAGGACACTTGCACTGAAATTTTAGGTATTTAATGTGGTTTTTTAAATGCCACGGATGGATTTCATTGTTATGGCTATGAAGAATATACAATCAACGTTTTAATAATTAGATGTGGCCTTTGGCTACTCACCCAACTATACCTGAGAGCTATACATTTGAGATGTGTTCTTCTCGGCAGTGAGAAGCCGGTATTTAACACGTGTGACGTTGGGCAGGTGACGATGAGTAAATGAAGTTGGCCGTGGAGCACGGATTTCACAGCTATTCCCACGCCCTGTAGCTTCATTACGGCCACGTTGCAATTCTACTCCCTCTCCTATGCCTCCAAAAAAGTCTGGAAACACTCAGCAGCTTATTTGCTATTGCAGCTGAGATTTTACTTCTAAATATTTCTTGACCCTTAAGTCTTTCTTATTTAAGGCTACCTGGAGTAGCAGGAGGCTCTCATTAGACTTTGAGGATTGCATGGCAGAGACTACTTGTCATCTGACGGCACTGAAAGGATCAGTCTGACGGCAATGATTGAACTGCACTGCACAACTCATTTTTAAGCTCTACCACCTTTTACGCAGTAGCTCGCTCAGAAGCAAGGCAGTGGGCACTCGTCATTGATGAAGTTCAAAAGCCTCCACTTCAAAGGTAGTTTCATTTGAAAAACAAATGGAGGCGGCAGCAGCGGTGAATTCAGGCCTCTCTGTGGCAGGCAGGGACCCGAAGGGTGTCCCCGTCCTAATCCTTAGAGCCTGTGAATGTGTTACATGACAAAGGAGAATTAATGTCACAGACAGAACTGATAAAGCTGGTCAGATGTTGTTGAAATAGGGAGATTATCCATGGACCCCAATGCAGTCCGTCACCGGGGTCCCTGTAAGGAGAAAAGGGAGGCAGGAAAAGTGTCGGAAGGGAAGAGGCAGGGTCAGAAAGAGAGATGTGATGCAGCAGGACCAGTGCGAGGCAGTCCGAGGCCGCGCCCCCCACCGCTAGCTTTGCAGACGGACGGAGAGGGGCACGAGCCACGAAACGCAGCAGCCTCTGGAGGCGGGAGAAGAGAAGCAAGCAGATTCTCCTGAGCTTCCAGAGGGCAACACAGCGCGGCCGATAAATCAATTTGAGCCCAGGGAGACCTACATTGGATCTAACCTACAGATTTGTATTCAACCCCATTAAATTCGTGGTAATTTGTTATAGCAGCAATAGAAAATCAATATGCTGTTGATGTTTTAGGTTGTCTGCGGTAGGTAGAGGCTCAGAAGGGAAGTTTGGCTTTGGTGCCTGGTGGCATGGATTCCCCTAAAATAAAAAGGGATGGAATTTTGAATTCTAAAAACCCAGCAAAGTCAACAAAAAATCCAAAGATCTGTTTCCTGGGAACAGAGCTGGGCTGACCTGATACTACTTCCTATTCATCCCTTTCCCCTTCTTTACCTGGATGCAGATCCAAAGGGGTCAGCAATTTGCGTTTTTCACTGTCCTCCCAGAACCGACTCCCGCTGAAATTTATAGGATGTCTGACTGCTGAAGTTCTATCTTCCCTGGTTCCAGAGAGAAAAACCCTTAAAATCTTTACTCATTTATGGTAGCTCACATCAGCAAAAGGCGACCACCAAGAAAAAAATTAGTGGAGCAAAGAAACAGACGGAAACCGAGCAAGCAAAGATGGGTTTCCGTCAAACACACCGAAGCACAACCTGATGTAAGAAAAGAGACATTACCTGCAGGAGAGACCACAAAGCAGTCAGTTTGTTTTACTCCATACCTGAGCTGGCATCATTCTTTATCTGCCTGGTTCTTGAAATTTCCCCCCAGGTTGGTTGAGAAAAAGAAAATCCTTAACCTAACCCAAGCAGCCTTACTTCACCTGATCATTTGATTTTACACTATTGTCTTGAAATAATTCTCCATATAGAACAATGTTGGAAAAAGGAATTTGCTACCAAGTGACCCCAAGCATCAAAAAATAACTTTAGCATAGGCTGCCCCCAAGTTTCTAGACTTTATAAGCTATCCATGCTTCTCAGAACGGCCAATGTTTATTTCAAATTACATTTTTCTAGTACATTTACCCGTCCAGCAAGCACTCTCAGGGATTCCAATACTTGGAGGGACATCACTCATTGTAACAATGATGTTCTATTCCATGTGAACGGCGCCCCCTGCTGTTGTGCACCTCAATGGCTCTGTATTAAGGCTCTGATGACTTGGCTATTTCTTACTTATTTGTTTTTGTCTCTTGAAACCTCCTACAGAGTGATGCATTATTTGCAGCTGCAGCAACCCGGGAAAACCCATCAAATGAAAATTGTCATTACTTCCACCACGGCATCTCTGACAGAGGTGAAGTTCATGCTGTAAAGCAGAGGTCAGAGCCCACATCTCGAATCCCTGCTTCTTCTTCGCACGTCTCAAAACCTACCAGGGCTGGATGAGTGGATCTTCACTTACTTGCTACCCCTGGTAGGGACTTCTGTAAAGTCCCATCATCCTTCTCTCCTTTTCTTACGAGCCATAATAGTGGAATGACAGCAACGAATGTGAATTACAGGGAAAATGAGTATATTCAAAGTAGAATTTATTTCATGTACATTTCTCATTAATTGCATTCAGAATTTTGAAACACACGGACAGAAAGGTGCACATGCTTTACCCCATACTGGTTTCCAAACTGCAGGTTACTGAGCATGTGTTTAACTCCCTCATGAAGCAAGTTCCGCCAGCACAGGGCACGTGGCTAAGATAAACTAGAAAGGCCTAAATAGACCTCCGTTAGCTTTGCTTTCATGAGAACCATCTTTTCCTTAGCTAGTGTAGAAAAATATTTAACAAATAATCAAATGGTAAAGAACAATGAGGATCATTTGTTTCAACTATTGACTATATCTGATTACATCATTGCCTCTGCAAATTGTCCCTTTCCGTTCTACAAATAGAAATGTTCTAGAAAATATTTTCCAATGATTATTTCAGTTACGTATTTGAGCAGTTTCCTTTCAAGTTTACTTCTTTAGAAACACCCTAAATAAAATTTCTCAAATTTTCCTCAGTGTTATTACACTTATTTTCTGGAACATTGGAAACAAGTATCACTGAACAGCATGTCTCATTGGTGTTCACACTCAATGGCTCAAATTAGAACCAAGCCATTAATCCCAACTCACCTCACGGGGTTTGGAGGCTTAAGTAAGACATGTAAATCATCAACCTATTGCAGGGATCTAGTAAATGGTAGCTGTTCACATGGTGAGTTCTTGCAGGGCTGATAGTTCTATTTTTTGACCTCAGTAAATGTTTGTGGGCATTGAATTAGTAACTATTGGACTTGATATATAAATGGACCCAAAAATTTGGGTTAAAAGCACGATACCATTCTTCAAAGTCAAGTTTCTAACTGTACCATTAAACAAAAACAAATTCTGATTTTTAGCACTGTCAAGAAAAATCAGTCTCAGGACATCACCTGGCCTCACTGATTTTTAAAAATTCTTTCTCCCATCTTAATAATCTAACTTCAATTGCACTCATATGGGATAATTCCCTGGTTAACTATTTAGGTCATACAAGTTCTAAGGAGAAACATTTAATAAACAGAGCTATCAACATGACTCATTTCGAGGAAATGAGGGTTTGGGAAGATGTTGTGGACACTAACAATAAACTTGTTGAAAACCAGTCTTAGGTGAAGTATCAGAAATTTTAGCATTCGGAGAAGTGAGAATGGTAAACAATGCAACATAGTAAAAGCTTGGGCTGGGGAATCCGGGTTGAAATCGATCTTGGACCAAACCCCTTTTCAGTTTCTTCCATCTGAAAAGTGGGCCAAATGAGAATAGCTAGCCCGAAGGCTGTGAGGAAGTCAGAACACATACACGAGCAGTTAATAAACTAAGGTAATCTGCACTACAGTGGGCACTTTAAATGTATCATTTTGTCCATGCTCTCTGAGGCAGCTGTTAGTCCTACTTTATAGATGAAGTCAAAGGTTCACTTCCCAGAAGGAGCCTAGATTCTCAAGAACAGGATTCCAAAACTTGTTTTCTACTGCACTATACTATCTTGAATTACAAAATATGCACTTTTCTTAAATCATGAATTCTTTAAAATCTGGTTATTTTATAAGCTTTTAGTAAGTTTATAGCATATAAATGTTTACAAGTTAAACAATATTTGTTTTTATACTAAGCAGCTTCCTCCAATTCTACCACACCCAAATGTTACTAGAATTTAAAATATTTTCAGTAACTTTTTTAACTTGAAACAAGCCAATTTAGGAAGTCACCAAACTACCAAATTAGATATATTATAGAAATCTACCCTTTGTAGCATTGGGCTGGCCTTTCTGGCAACCACTGTGACACACTCCAAAGCTAAGGAAAGCCAGCTAATTAAAAGTGCTTTGACACGTTCACGTCACTGCTCCTCACAGCCCGCTTCCAGAACGCGGACATCCCTCTGACATCTAACACCCTCACGTTAGTAATTTCTAAAGGTTATCTGCTGAAGTCAAACAACTCTTGGTTTCAAGTATATAAGGTATCCTGGTCTATTTCTAGAATATAAAATAGAAATAACTCCTACATACTTCAACTGTGCTACGCGCATTCGGTTTTCCTAGTCTAATACAACTGGCGTATGAGAAAGGTCATTTCTTGATTTCTCTCTGTACATTAACCCCAGCACGGCTCAGGGTGCGGCATCCTGAAAGCCAGAAGAAAAGCCGCAACGATAACAAACATTGGGCCCGAGTCTGAAGAAAAATGAAACAGAATATACTGTGGTCAAGTAATACAGTCAGAATCACCAAAGACAAAAACAGGATTCCATTGCATTACGAATAAGCATAATTCAATTGAACAGGCTCATGAAAGAGCTGAGCGTGGCTCTCTATTCATTCCAGTATTTTTTAAAGATGTGTACACAGAAAAACCACGCGGTTCTAGATTTGCAAACTGCACCTTCTTCTCTAGTTGTGTAGAAAATCAGCTATGAAAAATGACGAGGTTCTAATTTATGATGACCAGTAGTGGGACACTTACTTGCAGGAATTGGTTCTGCCTTAAGGGAGGAAAAAAAACACAACTTCTTGAAAAGGTAAAATAGCTTAAAGCATTTAATATCTAAACAAATCAATCTGTTAATAGCAGTAGTCACAAAATATGCTTAATATAGAAACCCACATTTATGTCTTTTAAGAAAAAGTGTAAATTGTATTTTACCTCAAAACATAAATTATTAACCCACTTAAAGAATCTGCAGCGGTCAAAATCATGGTGAATTTTAAACAACTTCAGAATAAAATAACCTTAAGTACTTTATACTGCTTTGTATCAAAAAAATGTTTACAACTTCTCATAAAAATAGTCTGAGGCAACTATTTTTTCTTTTATTCTTTAACAGACATGTTCAACATTATGGGCAACATTCTTAAAACCTTAAGCTTCAGACTTTCAGTCACGTAAATACTATGGTCCCCTTTGCTTGATGCGGGAGGATGATTTCACTAGGGAAAAAAAGCATGGCAGACAACCCAATACATTTTCATCAAATCAACAGTAGTACAAAAGTTTTAAGTCTCTATAGAACTACACATCGTACCTAATGTATCATTAAAAATAGAAGACAGTATTTTCTTGAGCAAATAGAACAGCATACTGTGATGCTGTTAATGCATATCTTTTAATGTGTACTGCCATTCATTAATTAATTATTTACAAGTTCTACTGTGTGAGGACGAGAATGTAAATTTTCTGCAAAACTGGAAAAAAGCAATATAAAAGTTGTGAAAGCCCGTGTTTACATTATACAAAAGCCAGTTTTTTCTCTGACAATACCAGATACTGTATAGTGTTATTTTGCACATATTATAGCAATTCTTGAGGATGCTTTAATGCTGGAGGTAAGTTTACAGGCCTTGACTCTTCATCAAGGAGCACTAGGTCTTCTATTTCACTGCCTCTGTATTTCCTTTTACATATTTTTACCACCACCTTTTTCTTGAGAAATAACTTCAATGCTTCTCTTGATGCAACTGCCTTTGCATTTTCTTTGCTTTTTCCACAGCCAGTGCCCAAATACACAGACTTGCACCTCAATTCACAAACAATACTTTCTTGAGAGCTCTTATTCTGAGGCAGATCTGCCAGTTCTTTTAGTGGGACGAAAAACACATCCAGGGTAGCTTTCAGAGCCTCAATGGCTGCATTTAAGAGCTCGCCATGATTAACATTGGGACTAAAGCCCCCGACAGCTACCAACTTCCACGCCACCGTTTTATAGAGTCTGTTGAAAAAAGGTTGCTTCTGTTTCACATCTTCATTGGTTAACTTGCAACACGAGAATTTGACAGACGTTTCGCTTGGCTGGGAAGTACTTTTAGAAGGCAACTGGGATGTGCTAGTCTGGGAACTACTCTTAGATGCCAGCTGGGACATGCCTGCTAAGGAAGTGCTTTTAGAAACCAGAGATCCACTGGTCTGGGGGCTGCTCTTGGAGGCTAACAGTGACGCAGCCACCTGCGAGGTGCTTTTGGAAGTCAGCACTGATGTATTTGCTAACGTGCTGCTCTTGGGAGTTAGTAAGGATGTGCCTGACGAGGAACTGGTTTTAGAAACTGATGACGTAACACTGGCCTCTGAACTGGTTTTGGAAGTTAACCCAATGGAAGCTGTCTCTGAACTAGGTTTAGAAGACAACAGTGGCAACTCTACCTCTGAGCTTCCTGAGGAGCCCAACAAGGGCACCTCGATCTCTGAGATGCTGGGAGAAGCTGAGGCTGAAGAGCCTTCCAAAGCACTCTTTTTAGGTGATCCGCTTGGTTGACTGGCATCTGCGGGTGGGGTCACATGACTATTCACACTGGATTTCAACAGCGCAGAGACCAAGGATGCGGACCCTCGTTTCTCTGGGGCTTCCGGTTCAGAAGCTTTCCCAGACCCTGCCGTTGTTACCTGAGAAGAAATGCTGCTGCTGCTTTGGCTGGAAACAGATGGCTCTCCGTCGGCCGTGGAGCTACTCTGACTCGAAGTGCCCGAGCTCCGCGTGGAGCTCCCGCCACTCTCCGACTTGGCAGAGGACCCCGCACACGCCGGGCTGTTTTCCTGCTGAGCTGACGCACGTTCTGGTTTGGCAGAAGTTTTTGCGTGATCTTCTTGCTCAACTGCAGAACTGTTTTTTCCTTCTACAACTCGTTTTTTCGTTGGCTCTTCTACCCCTTCTAAAAAGAAGGAAAACACAACGTATGTGACTAAGTCGACCTCGTACACATCAGCTGAAAATTTACAGAACATATATTCATTAAAATAAAGGCACAAGGCAAAAATATTTCAGGATCAGCAGTTTCTTAAAAACGTGCGGAATAGCTTCATTAATTTCTTAAAACAGCATGGAGTAACATCATTAATTTCTAGTATTAAAAAAAATCAAAAGCATAGACATTTGACACTTCAAAATCTAAAGTGGTTAAAGGAAACTATGAAATTCAGAGCCTAGAAACACAGACACATAAATCAGGTTTAACGTTTCAACGCGATTAACATTACAGAAATCTCAGGTCTTTTAAAAAAGTAAGTCATAACAGTAATTCCTAATTTTATCAAACTTATGCTCTAAGCTCCTATGTATGTTCACATCTATGATCTGCTAACCATTGCTACTTGATATCCCTCTTTTCTTCACCTTGGCAACCAGTTCGTCTCGTGTTGTATGGATTGGAGCATCTGTCACTTTGATGCCTTCAGCCATACTAAGTATTTTATCCATAACTTTTTGAGGGTACCTGGAAGAGAAGGAAAAGCCACTCTCAAGAAGTGTTTGCTCTAAGTCACCCTTTCTGGCGCGCGCCAACAGGCCCCGGGAACGGCGTTTCCTGGTTGCAAGGAAGAAAGGGCACCAACCGCCAGGAGCTGGTTCCCGGAACCCCAGCCCCGAGTGCCCCCCAGTCTGGGGGGGAGGGGGGGGCGAGGTCCCCGCGTGTCAACCTTAATAAACTCCGCGTCCGTCCGCCAGGGCGCCGCCGGCCCCCAGCTCCACCGGGAGACCCCGACCCGGCCCGGGGGCGCCGCCAGGCCGCGCACCCAGTCGGCTTCCGGCAGAGACGCCCTGCTCACCCTAAAGGGCAGCCGGGCCCGCGGGTTCCCGCGCCGCGCCGCTTCCCCTCCCCGCGGACGGCTCCGGGCCGCCGTCCCCGGGCCGCACACAAAGCCCGCGGGGCCGCCGCCAGGCGCCCCCTCACTCACCGGCACCCGAGGAAGACGTGGTTGGCCCAGGCCATGGAAAAGGAGATGAGCTGCTGCAGCTGCCGGCTGCGGCGCCCGCCCTCGGCGTCGGCAGCGTCCTCCGGGTCAGCGGAGGCATCGCCGCCGGCGGGGGCCAGGTCCCCGGCGTTGCGGAGCAGAAACTCCCGGCGGTGGCGCCAGTGTTTGTCAGTCTCGCCGTCGCAGCGCAGCGCCTCCACCCAGGCGGCCACTCGCGGGTTCTGGCTCAGGTACTCCGACACCTCCTGCGCCATGTTGGGCCTGCGGGGTCGCGGAGGCCGCGAGCGGACGCTGCACCGGGAAGGACGCGGGTGCGCCGGGCGAGCGGCCCTGTCACTGCGGCCTGCACCGGCGGGCCCCCGGAGAACGCCCCTCAGGAGGCCCAGACCCCAAACAACAGCGCCCGGAGCAGCTGCACCGCCCACTTCCGCCCGCCGCCGGCTCCTTCCCTTTTATAACCTCGCCGCCGCCGAGCGCCGGTGCGTCCTTCCGGCGGGGCTCTCCCAGAACGCTTCGCGGCGCGCTGGCTGCCGCGACGCTGCGGCCGCGGCGGGAGGCCGGGTCGGGAGGAGGGGCCGGGCGGGAGGGGGAGGCGGTGCTCGCACCCCCGCCCCTGGAGGGCGTGCCGCAAGTGGATTCCCGGGGCGCCGCGCACCTCGGAACCGTCCCTGGCGTTCTGGCTCGGCTTTGTGACGCCGCAGGCTCGGCCGCCGCCCTCCCCTCCGGGTTCGCTTTGGCGCCCGGAGTCCTGGGAGGGAGGCGGGGCCGCGGGGCGGAGGGCGGCCGGGCAAAGTCCTCTTCGGCCGCCGCGGCGCCCCGGGGGCCGTGCGTCTCCGACCGGGACGCTGGTTTTGAGCGGAGCCAAAAGAAAAGCTCGCCTCCATCTTTTGATTGTGTCGGACACAGTTTGGAGCGCCGTTTGAATGTAGACCAGCGAAGCATTTTGAGGCGCTCTCGGTGGCTGCGCGTTTAGGAATGTGTGGGAGCATGGTACTAGTGATAATAGAGATAATAAAGTTTAACGATTAACCCGGATCGATACTGCCCTGCGGAACACAGTCTTTGACACTCGCCCTCGTCCTGCAGGGTCGGGTTCGGTGCGCCTTCCTCGTTCCGCCCCGCAAGCCTGCTGCCTCCCGGGGTGGATTTTGGTCGGTGACAACGCCCCGCAGAGGAAGGTCTGCCTCTGTCGTATTTCCTTTAACAATAACCCCCAGCCGGTCACCTAGCCCGGAGTCGGTGTAGAAAAGTGCCTGTTTATCTCCACCGCCCCAAACCTTTCCTTTTAGAGCTATTTTTTTCTTGCATTTTTTACCACTTTAGAATGCCCCCACTTACATTTACTGCCAGCCTTGTTATTATATTTTTCCAATTTCATATACAGGGTCTGGCAGAAGTAATGCCTGCTTGAGTGTGGTTGGTAGGGTAATAATATGGCTGTAGTAATTTACAGTTTTCATTTGAACATGTCACCTAAACTGCCATATGGTGTGCTTGAGTGTGGTATTGCTATGTTACAGAATTTCATGCTTATGATGTAATAAATATTTGGTAATTTAAAACATTATTTGTGGCAGCCCCTGTATATGATTAATAAGCTAAAATAGGTGATATAATAATGATAAATTATGAAATAAAAGGTCCTGTCATTCAATATGGATGTGATTTTAAAATGCTTGAATCAGAATAATCAAGAAAAAAATCGCTTAGATGAGATTCACAGTTTTAAAAAGCCATGTAATTTATACAGGGTGAGGCAAAAGTAGGCTTACAGTTCTTATGGAAAATAATACATTAATTAAGAATATATACAAGAATAAACTGTTACATGTACTCACAAATGTGAATGTAGTTTTGCCCTACCCTGTATACTTTCTGGACTTATCAAAATTCAGCTATTAGGTGAAAATAACATTGTCTACTTTGCTGCTCTGCCCAAAGAAACTTAATACAAATTTAGGCACAAAGGAATTTTGAAGTTTGGATATTTGCATCCAGTTTTGCTCTTCTTTTCCAGGAAAATTGCTGAAACTTTGGAGGGATGAAAGGATGCAGAAATCCCATAATTTAAAACACTGGAAAATTTTATGGTCTTTGCTTCCATGAGTTCTTTGGCAAGGGTGAGTTAGCAAGTAAAAGAATCTGTGATTACATACCTAGATAATATTTGTGCATTTTAAACCAAGAATGTTCTCGGTTTTTTGTTGTTGTTGTTGCCCTGTAGGTAGCCTTCCACATGGGCTTCTGTGCCTTGAAGGGGGAGAAATGGAGCCTGAACGTCAAATTATCTTGTAGTTGTAATAAGAGCAATGTGGCCTTCAGGTTTTTATTAGCTCAAGTTGTTACTAGAAAGGAGCAGGTACTTGACAAAAAAGGATACATGTGTTTATTTTTTTTTCATTCCTATAAAGTTGACTTTGCATATAAAGATCGAGGGCATAGACCATGGACCACAACGTTGGGGAGAATAGCATTTACGTAATATTTTTGAAAGCCTTCTCATCAGAAGGGGACCGATTTCTAAGTTCCCATCTGGCCTGGAGCAATTCGGAGAGAAAAGATGAAAAGCTACCTTGTGAAAATCCACGTCGGGGGTGGTGAGGGAGGGAGGTGTTGGCTGTGCCCGGACCGTTTTGTTTTACATTAAGCCTCAACGTAAATCAACGTCAGTGCATTTGTTTGCTGCTGTGCGAGTGAAATAAGAGTGTGATGTTGTCTTTCATGGGGGTTAGTTTCTAAGATCAACATGTAAAGGAAAGTCAGACATGATTCCACAGCCCAGGCAGACCTTATATGATTGCGCTTGGTCGGCAGGTACTGCATTTTCATTAACGCCAAGGCAGGGTGCTCCACCACCAAAAAGATTACAACTTGCTGAAGGCTCAGATGATGGCTGGCATTCTTTAGCACGAAGTATTTCTTCGTGAAGGTACGTACATTGGTGTAAACATAACTTTTATGTGTACTGGGAAACCAAAAAATTCATGTGACTCCCTTTTTTTGTGGTATTGTCATGGAAACAAACTCCCCCACACCCACCGCCCGCCTGTCACCATATTCAGGACTGTGGCTCTCCGTGCCAGAATTTGGTAAAAAGGAGAGGAATTAACTAAAAGTTATACAGGTTCGGAATAATGGCGGAATTGTATCTGCTTCATTGTGGCGGTCTGGAACCAAACCCGCAACATCTCAGAGGTGTGTCTGTGCCTTCTTTCCTCGTGGCACAGCGATCCCCTCGATTTTAGAAAGCCGCCTCAGTGCCTGCTGATGTGAGGATGCAGAGAACTACGGACTTTCTCTACGGGTTCACCGATTCTAGTTTGGTTAGTTTCAGTTGCAGGGACAAAAACTATGACTTAAAATAGCTTTTGCTGGAACAAAAAGGGAATTTATTGGCTGTTACCGACAGTCCAGGGAGGAGACTGTGGGCTCCAGACACTCAAAAATACGCTGTCATGTGGAAACTTTTCTCTTCCCCTCTGCGCTTTCACTGTGTTAGTTTCCATTCTGGGCAAGCTCCTCCTACGTGGTGGCTCCCCCCACGTGGGTTCCTAGTAGCCCACGGCGTATGTCCTCCGTCAGAATTTACTTATCCTGAGAGTTTCTGCCAATGTCACAAGGTTCTGTTAAGAATCCATTGGGTCTGTTGGGTCATATACGTAATGTCTTAAATAAACATTCTAAACAAGTATTCTGATTGTACAGAGCTGAGCCATGCACGGGTGCACCCTAACGATGGTAAACCCTCTGTGTAGGGCCCACCCTGCACAAGGAAAATCACAAACTCAGTCAATCAAAGAACTTGCAGATCAAGGAAATGGAGGTGACAGCCAGGGGAACAGAAGAGTCACCACTACCAGGAAAGATGATGGGAAGTGGTTTCACGTGACACAAGACAATTTCGTGGGAGACCCTGGTATCAGGATGGCTTCTTTCTGTCCGCATTGTAGCCAAACTGCTGACATCTTTTGATAACACTTCTTACATTCCCTCAGTCACAGGAAGAACCTTCCTGAAGACAGTGCTGTCTCTTTAGGCTTCGTGTTCCTCCGAACGCGAATGAGATGACATATGCACTTTCCGTCCCTTCGTGAAAATCTTTACCTGCGCCCGACCCCAGAATGGGGGTGGGGTGAGGTTAAACTTTGGAGAAAGGTACAGACAGAGATCAGGGAAGAGTTATTATTTGAGGAAGTACTGTTTAAGTTCCCATAAAATAACAGCTTGATTCTGGCTCTTCAGAATCTTGGAAAGTTAGAGCTGGAAAGGGGACCTTAAGACTATGTTTGTATTACAGATGAGGCAACTGAGGTCAGAGCAGTTAAATGATTGCCTAAGGTCAATTGGTTAATGTAAAAGGAAAAATAATAAACAAAAAAAAAACCAAAAAAAGAAAAAAAGAAACCAAGTCATGTAGTTTACTGACTTCTGGTGTAGAATTTTTCTTTGGTGAAGTTTAATGAATCAGCAATTTTTATTAACTCACAAGGTGTAGTGGCTGCAAAAGAAATGGGAACTGAGCTAAAACTAAGATTGCAACAGTAATAATCCACTTGATTATTGGGTAATTTGGAAACCAGGGTAGGCAATTTGTGTTTCTTTGTACCTAGGCTCCAGCACACAAATGTGTAATTGGATAACCACAGAACCAACTCCAAATGGTCCTGTCCTGTTTAACAAGGTGCTGAGCTGCTTTCAGAGACAACAGACCACACCCTCATTTTGGGCAGCTGACGCACACACAAATGAGAGAACTTTGACCTCCAGCTGCACCCAAAACCAAGATCTTGCCACCCCTCTCCCCCTCCTACACACACATGCAGACCCAGAGGACCAGGACACGACCTTCAGGAGCAGAGAGTCCGTTGCTCAGGAAGATCTGGTGTTGACACCCCTTTACCATAAATAGCCAAGTTCCAAGTTCCTTCAGTTTAGAACTTCCCCCACCAGCACTTCTGTATATCTGTTCCCTAACCCCTTAAACCCTTAATCTAGCCCTGGGCAAGTAGTTTAGTTAGAGTTTCATTCTAATACACCAATGGTGTGGGTTCAATCCCCAGTCAGGGCACAAGCAAGAGTCAACCAATGAATGCATCAGTACGCGGAACACCAGATCAAGGTTGCGCTCGCTCGCTCTCTCTCACTCATCAATAAATTAAAAATATGTGTATAATGGGGGAAAATAAAGCAGAGGGATAGAAGAGAGTTTGGCTAAGTGGTCTAAACATTTAGAATGTGCCAGACACCTTTGATAGGTGACCAAAGGCAACATTTGAAAAACCCCCTCTTCTCTTCTCCCCTCCTATGCAACTGTCGGTTGAATAGGATGAGTTTCCAAAAACCTCAGTTAATTTTAAGGAAGAAAACAAAGTAAGTGCTTTTCTTCTCACCAGGGAAGGCAGTTTTGATGTTAAACACCCCGTGGGTAGCAGTAACACTGTGCAGTTAATGTAAAGATGGAAACAGAAGAAGTGTTCCAGTTCTCAGGACAGAAGCCAGTTTTAAACACTTCACTGACGCAGCGCTGCCAGGCCCACGGCGGGGCGGGGCGGGGGGGGTGATAATGGCTCCTCCTGACCAGACAACACCCAAGGGGCAGGGTGAGGCCTAGCCACCCACCCTCAGCGGAGCTCCCTCCCCCGCCTATCAGCGAAGGCGCTTTGTCTCTATTTCCTGAAAGAAGCATCAGGGCGCAGCGCAATCCAATTACTGTTACAGCGCCGAGTCCCGTGGAAATGAATTCAGGAGCTTACCCCATTGATTTCAGCCCGGCTCGGCTCGTGTGGGAGAATTGATTCCACGGGGCTTTGATTCAGAGTGAGGCGTGTGGGGGATCTTTACTCACAGGTGTTTTTCTGAGCTGGAGCTTAAGAGGATCAGAATGCTCCTATTATCACTGCCGTATGAAACTAGCATTGGGAAATAGGGAAGGAAAAAAAACATAGTCCTATTAGCTCCAGAGCCACAAATTTGCCCATTATTGTGGGGACATCCGATGGCCAGGTTCAGAAAACACGTGGGTGGCAGCGGACATTAGTAGCAGGCTTCGGCTTAGTGCTGCGGGGTAGCTGGGAGTGTGGGGACTCAGCAGGCACAGTAGCTGCCTCAGTGGCTTCGGGTCACAGGACTGTGGCCCGACAAGACTGTGGCCCAAGTGTCACTTTCGGTTGTCTTCAAAGGCAGAGATCATAATGCTCTAGTTATTGGCTCTGAGAGAGGAGATGTCCTAAATAGTATCTCCATTAAAAAAAAAACCATCAGGGAGTTACTTCCGTTCTCTTCTGGCATCCCAGACTCAAGGGATGCTGCTGGCAGACCCCCAGGGACCACTGAGGCGGCTTCCTGGTTTGGGGGCTTTGGACCGGTTAGAAAGTGGAGCCCACTCAGCGGTGCCCACCTTGTCTCCAGGCCGGCATTTTTTTTCTCTCCAGTCCTGGTTTCCAGAAGAGAAAAGTTAGCAACTAGCCAACCTGGAGTGCGGAGTCAGACACAAAGAAGCCATCTGCCCCGGGGCACGTTGGGAATTCACGGTGCCCAAGAAGGAGGGAGAAAGTGGGGAGCAAACCCACCCAGGGCACGTGGCCCAGAGCAAGCAGCGCGTCCCTTTGAAGGGGCACCAGCCACCCCATGTGTGGTGTCTTTCCTGAGCGCTTGGTGCAGAGGGCTCCCACGGCCCTGAAACCCCACAGCTGAGCCTGGGAGCCCCGCGGGGAGAGGACAGGGCTGCCGGGAACTCGACTGCAGTCCCCTCCCTGCGGGGGAGTGGCACATTCAGGGACTGCGTTCTTACCGTCATGCTTGAGACTTTTCTTAAGTGAGAAGCAGGGCTTGAACATATGAAAGGGAATTCTTATAAAGGAGACACGGCAAAACAGTAGGGCCGAGTGTTCGGGTATTGGAATCCTCACGAGAGAAAAGCAGTCTGGAAGTATAAGGTCCATTATTCCACTGATTTTGTTGCAGAATACCGTGCATGACATTACATCAGCTTGTATCGCATTAGGCCATTTTTTCGCTGGGTGCAGTGATCTCTCTCCCAGCGCAGCTGGGCGCGAACTTCAGTGGCCTCGGACGTTAATGCAGTTTTTCTGGGAACTCCGACACATTCCTGGCCGTAGCATTCGCTCTTGGGTGTTTCAGTTTCCCCCAGGGTTCAGGAGAGACTTTCATCCCGTCCCCGTGCGCCCGGCTCTTGCCTGGAGTCCGCAGGAAGCTGCTGATGGTGCTGGACTTCGGTTCTTTATCAGCTTCCATCAGTCTGTTTCCCACGCCGCTTCCGTGCCTCCTTTGAAGACTCGGGAACTTCCCGTGGCAGCCAGTGCCAGACGGGGTAAGGGGCCCTGGAGCAGGAGCAGAGGCCTCCCTCAGAAGCACAGGCTGGGGCCCCTCGTCCCTCCTGGCCTCTCTCACAGTCTGGATTCACCTGGGGGAGGGCAGTGGGGGCAGCAGCAAGGGGAAGAGCTTCGTATTCCTGGAGGATGGCACTGGAGTCTCCTCAATAGGACAAAAGCCACTTCCTCGGGCTCTCTGTCCGGGAGGTGGCTGGACTCCCAAGCATGAGTGACCCTCATTGTTGGAGGAGCCTTCATCCCCAGGACTAGGAAATTATCTGCGCCTGAAGGCACAGAGGCTCCGGGAGCCCACGACACAGGACAGACCAGACCACGGCTACCACTGGACCCTGCACCCAACGATGACATGGGAACATGCTACAACCCCCCGAAACACCCTGCTCTACAACCCCCCCCACCCACCCATAAAGGCTCAGCCCTGACCCCTCAGGGCTGGGGCTGGTGCCATGCACATCTCCAAACCCCAGCCCTTTCCCTCCCTCGGGGAAGGAAAAATGAACCCTTGACTCTCTGCGCCTTCGCCTCTCTGTGAATTCTCTCACAGCCCGTGTCACCGACCCCCCCAACACCCTAGACTAGGTCCTGAGCCCCCTGAGGAGTCAGTGGAACCTCAAGCCTGCGCCT